ATGATATTGCGTTTTATATATGTAGGAGCTTTTCAATGTATAAGACGTCTTAAAATCGTTTAAAAATCTCCAGCATATTATATACCAAAATTTGCAATTGCTAAGAGCCTAGCATTTTTTACAGCAAATATCTAGGAGCGAGACGATTAGTTCTTCATGTCCTCCCGTCCTATTTGTATTCTGAAAATAGACGTGCGTCATATGAAGAAATGCGTATAACGATTGTTACAAGTTTGTATGTGAAATTATTTCAGTTCCATCAGTTGTGACTATTGCAGAATATATCGTATATTGGAGCATATGAAATTTTGTCTTCGAAATCTCACCCTTATAGTAATTTACTAAGCAAAGCTTAGATGCGGCACAAGAACGAAAATATGGAGCCCCAAGAAAGGATCGAACTCACTACTAGGTCGTAATTGATTTAGCACGACAAGCTTGCTAACTATTACATCACGTCAAAGTGCCTAAATCGCTGCCTTGTAAAATCTGTTAAAAATCTAAAACATGCTAAACGTTGAAGCTCAGTGATGAGTGTCAAGTTTTAAGGTCTACTAATCTTCCATAATGGGGGCTAGACTAAGCTTCAGAAAAATGTCGTCGGTTTTATTGCTCGAACATATTTCATGCTAAAATTTAAGGTACGTCCTATACGCCGATTAGTCAGATAAAAACGGTACTTTTTTTTTCTACAAAAGCTCGAAGGTTGTACTTAAGGACAAAGTAAAGCTCCTAATTTCCCTCAACAACTACACTGGTATTCGTTGCCACTCCCACTCGCTTCACAGTTTCACGGAAAATATTTTATTCATGACGAGAGATTGTTATTTCTGTGTACGTCGTTTTCTGTTTAAGTTTCTTTGATTGTCAAGGGATTAGCTATACTTTTCATTATTCTCCAACAGGCATTGGCAACCTTTTCCGACCAGTGGGCCGTATGAGACATCGCTCATCATAAAGTAATTTTTCGTTGAAAGAAAAGCGAATGTTTTAATACCAGATAATTGTATGCGTAAGCATGTCTTAGAAATGGAAGAAAAAATTGGAATTTTCTTTTTTTTTTTTATTTGGAGAAAAGGTTTCGTATAATATCACTCATGACACCGTGATTAACACACACTGCTGCGAGTTATTTGGTTCTAATGTATTCATTTGAATTTAAATATATTTAAAAAAAATATTTTTCTTCTCATTTCTAAAGCAAAGTATTTTTACACGTATGATCTTCCTTAATGAAAATCGTCAATGGTTTAAAATGTTGATGTTGTTTTTGTTGATTTTGTTTAGCGGTATATCAAACTTGCGTTATTTAATGCTGAAATTGAAATATTTTGTACGTAATTATATACTTTCAGCGTAAAAGGTGTTTTTTTTTTTACATATATAGTTTGTAGATGTCTTATTAGTAATTTTACTATAAAATGTATTTTTATAATTTTTCGGTGGGTGGAGGTATTGCATTGATTGATATTTTGCTGAAAATTCATTTGCATGCAATCTTCAACGAAAAGTTATAAAATACAAGAAACATTGTACTTAATCATTATGTAGAGGGTTTAGTCGATCTGTACCCAAAATGCAACGAGAATTAATAAGTAAGGGACATTACTCTGGCATTTAATAGTTATCTCCCTTTGACACCCGCTTCTTGGAGTGAGAGAGAATGTGAGTTTACAAGTCAGAAGATTATCACTGATAACTCTCTCCTCCAATTTGCGGACCCTAGTTACTATATACTTAATATCTGATATAATGCAAAAAAAAAAAGAAAAGAATATATATATATATATATATATATATATATATATATATATATATATATATATATATATATCACAACGATAAAATCGGCCAATAATTATTTATACCGGAACTCAGGTATACAATTACAAATAATTCGTAATAATATATTAAATTTTGAAATCATATTTATTTTTAGCATATGAATTTTTTGAAATTGTTTCTAAATCTTTGATTGTCTTTCAATCATTCCGCCTCACCTGCTATCCTCTGCCACCGCAACTATGAGGCGAGTCGTACCGTTTGGAAACCACTGCTTTAGATATATGAACAAATAAGGCGTCGATTGTAACTGTCACCAGTAGAGTATGTCAGTAAGGCTTGCATTTATTTCTAAACACTTGCAAATACTTCTGGTTTTCAATCGATTTTTATAGCAATTTTCGTTTCAATTATTTTTTTATAGTAAAATCTTTAGCAATACATTTTAAATACAATCGTCTTATTTAGCTAAAATCATCTAAGTAGAAAAATTTAAATACATGGGAAGCGTTTTAAACAGAGCCGGTGCGTACAACCCCCGGACTCCCGCCCCGACTCTCAGGTCTGTTTGGGGGCTCTGGGGAGTGCGTTGTGACTAGCACTGTCTTATCAACATTTGTTTTTTTTCTACCTACATTTATATACGTTACAAATTAAACTAAACACAACTATTAAACGATGAAATAATTTCGCTGGTATTGACGTCAGTCTGTTTTTACACGTCCAAATCCGTGAATTTGTTTTCTCCATGCTAAATTTCAAAATAATAATAATAATAATAAAAAATAATAATTTATAAAATAAATAAAAAAAAACACTATATAAAATTCACTATTTTTTATCCATAATATTGAATGTGTTAAAATTCTTCAATTTTTTAACAAGAAAAAACTCAAATAGATATTAAAAATTGGCGCCAAACAGTGTATATTTATTTTAGATGGATGATCTATTATGACGTCTCTCATTTGTATTTAGATATATTGCATTTATTTTCAATTTTTCTAGTTGAATTGTTCACCTATATTGCATATGATCCATTATTGTACATAAATTAGGTTACAATAAAATTTGTATTTTATATGAATAGTAGCTTATAAAAATTGGGATGTAGTAGAGGGCGTGACCCCATATTATAGAGGGATGGAGTGCACGAAACCCTTGTACCGGCACTAGTGTTAGGGGAGGAGGAAAAGTGTGACAGTGAAATCTGAAGGCGTATTGGAAGAGTGAAAGATGTCTTAAAATTGCCCAAGAACTTATTTAGAAACAGGAGAATTTCATCAGGAATAAAGAAAAAAATACTGAACTTTTGAGCAGTATCAGTCTTCCTATTCGGCAGTGAATGCTGAACAATTTTGTCACAGATGAAGAAAAGACTTGAAGCAATAGAAATGTTGTTCTTCAGAAGGATGCTGAGGATTACCATGCACGGAACCTGTGAGTAACGACGAAGCTTTAGAGATAAATGAAACAATAATGATGCTTATACTTTGAACCAGAAAGAGAGAGATGAAATTTCTACGACACATAATGAGGAAAGAGGGTTTAGAAAGTGTTGCACTCACAAGACAAATTGAAATCAAGACGTACAAAGGAAAAAAATTGCATAACCTACATAACGAGTTTGTGTAAATGCTTGGTAGAATAGCAAGAAGACAATATTATTATGTAAATGCTTGTAGAGATAGCAAGAAGACAATATTATTATGTAAATGCTTGGTAGAATAGCAAGAAGACAATATTATTATGTAAATGCTTGTAGAGATAGCAAGAAGACAATATTATTATGTAAATGCTTGGTAGAATAGCAAGAAGACAATATTATTATGTAAATGCTTGTAGAGATAGCAAGAAGACAATATTATTATGTAAATGCTTGTAGAGATAGCAAGAAGACAATATTATTATGTAAATGCTTGTAGAGATAGCAAGAAGACAATATTATTATGTAAATGCTTGGTGGAATAGCAAGAAGACAATATTATTATGTAAATGCTTGTAGAGATAGCAAGAAGACAATATTATTATGTAAATGCTTGTAGAGATAGCAAGAAGACAATATTATTATGTAAATGCTTGTAGAGATAGCAAGAAGACAATATTATTATGTAAATGCTTGGTGGAATAGCAAGAAGACAATATTATTATGTAAATGCTTGTAGAGATAGCAAGAAGACAATATTATTATGTAAATGCTTGGTAGAATAGCAAGAAGACAATATTATTATGTAAATGCTTGGTAGAATAGCAAGAAGACAATATTATTATGTAAATGCTTCTAGAGATAGCAAGAAGACAATATTATTTTGAGCCCTGAGTCAAAATTCGAAAATAATTTGTATGTAATGTTTAACGGTAGACAGAAAAATATTTCCAAAAATATAAGCATTGTACTTAGCAAGGGAGAGCATGATTTCATGCCTTCACTTTATCGCCAGAATTCTTTCTTTGTGTCCCAGTCCACCCAAATAAGAAAACCAATAGCAAAACACGAGCAAATGTTTACCCACCGTTCAACTGGTGGCTGGGCATTAATTTATTTTTTCTCTACCACCGGTAAAGCGGTGGTCAGGGCTTAAAGGGTTAAAAGCTACAAAGAACAGGAAATTGTGGAGTGCCATGATCGCCAACGTCCTGAATGGATACTGTACATTGAAGAAGAAATTGTTTTTTTTTGTTTTTTTGGCTAGATGGCTTATTTTTTCTGATCGCTACTGTATCTCTGTATTTTGAATAATTTATATTTTTACCAGACGCAAGGCGATAATGTCACTAAGAAGTGAAAGAGAATGAAAAGGGGAAGCAACCGGTAACCAAATCAAAGACGTGAGACAACAGAAATGTCGTTCTACAGAAGGATGCTGAGAATACCTGACGAGTAACGAGGAAGTTTTAGAGAAAATAGAAACAAAAAGGACAGAATCAGAAAGAGTTAGGTGAAATTTAATTGCTTCGTTTTCTGAAGCTTATCAACCGCTTGCAGATTTTGAACCCGGAAAATATTTTTAGACTGTGAAAATTGTTTTTTTTTTTTTTAGATAATAATGATTTAGTAATACAATTCTTACTAATTAACCCATAGCTGGGGCGAGAAGAGGTGGATTAATATCGATATTCGCGCGCAAGTGAATATAACGAACTAAACTGGAATTGGACCTCTGCTCTCCGATAATAATTCCGAGACCTTATCCATTACCCCACCGGCGCATCCGACCTTACATCACCTGATATTCCCAAGCGGTCATCCATTTCGGTACTGACCAGGCTCGACGTAGCTTAATTTTGGTGAGCATCTGGGAACCGGTGTATCAAAGCGATATGGCCATAAGCCTTGAAATTTCTCAGGCACATGACGATGATAGGAGGCTTTGACACTAGCAGGATATACTGAAGGCAGCAGAAACAGAGAAAAAACAGCTTATAATCGGCTTAAAGAGCCTTGTGTAAATGGATATCAACAGGGACTAGAAGAGATAGCGAAAAGTGAAAATTTACTGAGAGCTAGAAGAATGCGGAAAATGTATAGAGCCAGTTAGGAAACATAACGAGGAAAGAGGGCTTGGAAAATTTGATACCCACAGGGTATTTCGAAAGCAGAAGGAACAGATGAAAACAAAGCATAATATAACTAAGGAGCTTGTGAGAATGGTTGACGACAGGGATTAGGGGAGTTAAAGAAAAGAGAAAATTTACTGAAAGCTAGAAAGATGCAGAAATCGGATGGAGCCACTTAGGAAACATAATGAGGAAAGAGGACTTAGAAAATATTACACACACAGGATATATCGAATGCAGATGGAACAGATAAAAACAAAGCATAACCTACCTAAAGAGCTTATGTAAATGGTTGTCGACAGGGATTAGGAGAGATAGAGAAAACAAAAATTACTAAAAAAAAAGGCAGGAAATCGTGGAGAACCATGTCTATAGAAGAAGAACTCTTGCATTAATTCTTGATGACTGACAATCATTTCTTCCGGTTTTGCAATTCTTCAGTAACAGACTTTGTGTCAAAATTGTAAAATTCAGCGGTAAAACGTTGAAACCAGTTTTTTTTCTTTTTTTCTCTTTCTTTCTTTCTTTCTTTCTTTCTTTCTTTCAGCGTTGCCATGGTGATTGCCATTTATTCAGTCTCCTCTGAACAACCTTCACCTTCTTGAAACATGACTAACACTCTCAAAGAGCCGGCGATTCCAACTTCTGCCATGAAAACAAAAATGTATCCTTTCTACCCTCTAGACATCCTTGCTTCAGATGTTAATAACTTGTATGAGTTTTCTATTGAAATATAAACAAGTATTGAATAATCAAGGCTTTGAATTTATATTACGAGGGGTGTTGGAAAGTTCACGGCCTAACAAAAAAAAAAAAAAAAAAAAACTATTTAGATGCATGGAAGTACGTCAAGTCGAGAAGTTTCACCATTCTTTCTTGTATCTCTTTACATTTTTGTTTACTAATGGTCACCTAACGCAAGGCTCAAGAGTCACTCAAGGTAAAGACTTACTAAATGGTGAGTTTTTCAGTGTAGCTTAGATGTGACATAAGGCCGAAAATATGGGTATCCAGCGAGGATCGAACTCTCTTTTCAGACGTAATTGATCTAACACATTAATTGAATGCAAGAGAGACAGAGGAAAACAGCGTACAAAATACCCCAACGCGCTTGTGTAAATGGTTGTCAGAACAGGGTTTAGTGGAGGTAACAAAAAGACAAAATTTATTAAGAGCTACAAAGGACAGGAAATTGTGGAGAGCCATGATCGCCAACATCTTGAAGGGATACAGCACATAGAAAAAGAAGAAATTGATTTGGGGGGGGGGCTAGGTGACGTATTTTTTTCTGCTCGCCACACTATCTTTGTTAATGATTACGAATAGTTTGTATTTTTATTATTATTTTTGCTTGATAAGCAAGGTGATAATGCCACTAAGATGCAAAGGGATTACTCAGTGTGAAAGAGAATGAAGACTTTAGGAACCCAATCCTAAACAGGAAAAAAAAAAAAAGGATAAACATCTACTCTTGTTCAACAGACTGGAAGGAAATTTGAACTAGGTGATAGGCAAACCTGTAGACTAAATTTTAGATTAAATAGGTCTCGAAAACCTATTTCGAAAGAATTATTTATTTTTAAAATGCTTTTTGTTACTTCCACTAAACCCTGTTCTGCCAATCATTGACACAAGCGCGTTGGTTTTTTTTTGTACGCTGTTTCATTTGTCCCTCTTGCATTCAATGTGTCCTGTGAGTGTAAAATTTTCTAAGCCTTCTTTCCTCATTATATGTAGTATAGGAGAAAAGGAAATTGAACACGGAATAGGCTAGGCTAGGAGTCATTTTGTCCATCACCGCAAGACTCTAGAAAACCAACATATTAACCCAACTATTCAAGTCAAGTACTTAAATAGTCTCGTTAAATACGGGCTTTCATAAGTATATCAATGGCGTCCAACGCCTTTAGTAATGTCTACCTAGTCAGCTATATACAGCCATTTTCTCAATCAATGATTAGAAATCGCTTGAAGCGAATTAATCTATGACTTAAAGGAGACAATCGTTTATCAAAGCTTATAGACTGGTGCTACATAGGCAAATAACTTCGTTACATAACAAGAATCACTGTTGCGTTTTTACGCAACCATTGGTAACAGGTGGTTACCTGCGGTCGACCGATGATAGCGACTGAATGCAGTTGGCGGTATAGGGTTGCAACAAAGTCCGTTGTCGTGGCTGAGTAGACGCAGTTAACTGTAAAGTTTACAAAAAGTCTAGGCTCCGATATAACCAATACCCATTGGGTAGATCTTCCCTCCTCCTCTAATACTCTTTCCCATCATTGTCAATAGGTGGCGTCTTTTATAGGTAACTAGAATCTTTGTGTCTATAAACAACACGTGGTAATTTCTCTTTTTTTTTTTTTTACTAGATTTTTTACAATGTCGCTATCGGTCGGCCGCGAGGTAAGTGAACATTTTAAGTAAAATGGATGACATATGCAACTAGATGATGACTTTCCACACAACCTTAAACAAAAGTTCAGTAGAGAAACTCATATCACTATTAGAAAGAACGATAACATTTAGTAGATTTGAGAAACTGTTTTGCGAGAAAGATTTTATAAATTTTGGTCGACACTAACGCCAACCGTTTGGTCAATGAATGCCGAATGTTTCCTTATAAGGAGACGGCTAATTTAACCTTTACTTCTACTATTAAGGCTTAGGGCAATATCACGTTGAAACATCGGTTCCCGTACGATCGCCTAAGTAAAGCAACGTCGAGCCGAGCCAGTACCTAGATGAGTGATCTTTGAGGAATACCAAATGCGGTAAGCTTGGATGTGTGGGTGGTGTAATAGATAATGGCCCGGGATTGTTAATCGGAGAACCGAGTTCCAATTCCCGTTGATTTAATGATATTCACTTACGCGCAAATCCACCTCGTCTCCGCCCAGCTATGGGTTAATTAGTAAGACTTGTAAATTACGTAGGTAGGTAGGAAGGTAGTTAAGTACGTACGCTACTGTCATTAACTCATAAATAATGGACTATTCCGTTTTTTGGTTCCGCGTTTCAACGGAAGACAAGATATGTCAAGCACGCTTGGGCATCTCGTGATGGTGCAATGGTTAGCGATCTTGTCTCGCTAGAACAATTACAACTGAGTAGTGAGTTCGGTCCTCACTGGGTTGCCCCCTACTTTCGGCCTTATGCCACATCTAAGCTACGCTTGGAAAACACTATGTCAAGCACGCTGTTTGGTTTTAAAGAAAGAACAGAAGACAATGACTGCCTTACGTATTTAATGACTGCAAGATGTAATATCAGCGAACTGAAGCAACGTCGAGCCTAGTCAGTACCTACATGGGTGACCGCTTGAGAATGCCAGGTGCTGCAAACTTGGATGTGCAGGTGGATAATGGCTCGGAATTGTTAATCGGAGAGCCGGGTTCCAATTCCTATTGATTTCTTTATATTCACTTACGCGTAAATACCATTCGAAAAGGTATGAATCCATCTCTTCTCCCTCCATCTAAGGGTTATTTGTTGGCTTTAAGTAAACTTCAAAGTGTTGATAAGCCGTAGAAAACGAATAAAAACTATTCAATCATTTAAATAGTGCATGGAAGAGAAAAAGTGACAAGTTTACAATGAGAAATACATTCCCTTCTTTTAGACTGAATGAAAAATTACCAATTTCGTGTTGAAATTGTTTTTGCATTGAGTAGTGTCATCGTCAGATAATCCAACTCGTCATATTATAACTCTGCTTGTTCCCTAGTTAGTTAGGTAGATAGGTAGGTAGGTATTTAGAGAGATAGGTAGGTAGGTATTTAGATAGATATGTAGGTAGGTATTTAGAGAGATAAGTAGGTAGGTATTTAGAGAGATATGTAGGTAGGTATTTAGAGATATAGGTAGGTAGGTATTTAGAGAGATATGTAGGTAGGTATTTAGAGAGATAAGTAGGTAGGTATTTAGAGAGATAGGTAGGTAGGTATTTAGAGAGATAGGTAGGTACGTAGGTACTTAGTTACACCTTTGTGCAAATTAATTGAAACAACCGCTTTAGTTTCCTTTCTTTCAACATACGATCAGTTTTAGACACACTGGAGTGACAGGGTATACTCGATTTCTATTTGTTCCTCAGATTAGGTCATTTGCAGTGGCGTGCAGTAATATGAATCTATTTTCGGGGTGTATGATGAAATTTGTTTGGACTTTAAAAATATTGCGTCATCCGTGATTGAATCAGATTTTGATCACGTCCAGACAGTATTGTCTTGACTGTCGATTAGTTGTCCTACGGTCATTGTCTACGATGGGCGATACTCCAAGGACGCGTACAAAAATTACAACGCTGCACGAACACACTGGCAATCTTTACCAGTGAGCAAATCAAAGTACTATTGACTGGTCCGGAAACTCTCCTGATTTAAATCCAATCGAGAATCTGTGATCACTCTGCAAGGAACGTCTTCGTGGGATGGACATACGAAGTACTAACAGAGCACTGGGGCATATTTCACTGGAAAAATATGAAAAAAAGTAAATCATAACAGAATTATTCGTTTTATTTTGATTAATTTGCACAAGGCTGTACTTAGTTGATCAACCAATCTGTTACCATTAAATAAAAATTATATAAGATGAAATAGTTGACTTAAAATAGAGTGGAACCTCGGTTCACGAATTTAATTCGTTCCTGAAGCCCGTTCGTAACCCGAACGTAAACCGAAACTATTTTTCCAATAGGAATCAATGTAAAATGGCTTAATTCGTTCCTGGTCCCAATATGATTGCTAATTAAAATTTTAACAATAG